AGGTACCACAGTGGCATTTGACCAAAACTTAATACCTATCTATTGTTAGTTTTTTTTTTTTTTTATTTTTTTATTTTTAATTATACTTTAAGTTCCGGGGTACATATGCAGAATGTGCCGGTTTGTTACATAGGTATACACGTCCCATGGTGGTTTGCTGCATCCATCACCCCGTCATCTACATTACGTATTTCTCCTAATGCTTTCCCTCCCCTATCCCCTAACCCCCTGCTATTCCTTCCCTAGCCCCCCTACCCCTGACAGGCCCCAGTGTATGATGTTTCCCTCCCTGTGTCTATGTGTTCTCATTGTTCAACACCCACTTAGGAATGAGAACATGTGGTGTTTGGTTTTCTCTTCTTGTTTCAGTTTGCTGAGAATGATGGTTTCTAGCTTTGTCCATGTCCCTGGGAAAGGATATGAACTTATCCTTTTTAATGGCTGCATAGCATTCCATGAAGTATGTGTGCCACATTTTCTTTATCCAGTCTACCATTGATGGGCATTTGGGTTGGTTCCAAGTCTTTGCTATTGTGAACAGTGCTGCAATAAGCATACGTGTGCATGTGTCTTTATAATAGAATGATTTATAATCCTTTGGGTATATACTCAGTAATGGGATTGCTGGGTCAAAAGATATTTCTAGCTCTGATCCCTGAGGAATCGCCACACTGTCTTCCACATTGGTTGAACTAATTTACACTCCAGCCAACAGTGTAAAAGTGTTCCTATTTCCCTACATCCTCTCCAGCAACTGTTGTCTCTTGATTTTTTTAATGATTGCCATTCTAACTGACATGAGATGGTATCTGAACGTGGTTTTGATTTGCGTTTCTCTAATGACCAGTGATGATGAGCTTTTTAAAATATGTTTCTTGGCTGCATAAATGTCTTCTTTTGAGATGTGTCTGTTCATATATTTTGCCCACTTTTTGTTGGGGTTGTTTTTTTCTTGTAAATTTATTTAAGTTTGTTATAGATTTTGAATATTAGCTCTTTGTCACATGGATAGGTTGCAAAAATTTTTTCTCATTCTGTAGATTTCCTGTTCACTCTGATAATAGTTTCTTTTGCTGTGCAGAAGTTCTTTAGTTTAATGAGATCTGATTTGTCTATTTTGGCTTTTGTTGCCAATGCTTTTGGTATTTTAGTCATGAAGTTCTTGCCCATGCCTGTGTCCTGAATGGTATTACCTAGGTTTTCTTCTAGGGTTTTTATGGTGTTAGGTCTTATGTTTAAATCTTTAATCCATCTGAAGTTAATTTTTGTATAAGGTGTAAAGAAGGGATCCAGTTTCAGCTTTCTGTATATGGCTAGCCAGTTTTCCCAGCACCACTTATTAAATAGGGAATTGTTTCCCTATTGATTTTTTTTTTTTTTTTTTGGTCAGGTTTGTCAAAGATCAGATTGCTGTAGATGTGTGGCATTATTTCTGAGGGCTGTGTTCTGTTCCATTGGTATATATTTCTGTTTCAGTACCAGTAGCATGCTGTTTTGGTTACAGTAGCCTTGTAGTATAGTTTGAAGTCAGGTAGCGTGATGCCTCCAGCTTTGTTTTTTTTTGTTTTGTTTTGTTTTGCTCAGGATTGTCTTGGCTATGTGGGCTCTTTTTTGGTTCCATATAAAATTTAAGGTGTTTTTTTCCAATTCTGTGAAGAAGGTCAATGCTAGCTTGATGGGGATAGCATTGAACCTCTAAATTTATTTGGGCAGTATGGCCATTTTCACAATATTGATTCTTCCTAACCATGTGCATGGAATGTTTTTCCATCTGTTTGTGTCCTTTCTTATATCCTTGAGCAGTGGTTTGTAGTTCTCTTTGAACATGTCCTTCACATCCCTTGTTAGTTGTATTCCTAGGTATTTTATTCTTTGTAGCACTTGTGAATGGGAGTTCACTCATAATTTGGCTTTTTGTTTGTCTGTTATTAGTGTATAGGAATACTTGTGATTTCTGCATATTGATTTTGTATCCTGAGACTTTGCTGAAATTGCTTATCAGCTTAAGGAGATTTTGAGCTGAGATGATGGGGTCTTCCAAATATACAATCATGTTGTCTGCAAATAGAGACAATTTGACTTCCTCTTTTCCTAATTGAATATGCTTTATTTCTGTTTTTTGCCTAATTGCCCTGGCCAGAACTTCCAATACTATATTGAATAGGAGTATTGAGAGAGGATATCCTTGTCTTGTGCTAGTTTTCAAAGGGAATGCTTTCAGTTTTTGCCCATTCAGTATAATATTGGCTGTGGGTTTTTCATAAATAGCTTTTATCATTTTGAGATATGTTCCACTGACAGCTAGTTTATTGAGAGTTTTTAGCATATAGGGCTGTTGAATTTTGTCAGAGGTCTTCTCTGCATCTATTGAGGTAATCATGTGGTTTTTGTCTTTGGTTCTGTTTATATGATGGATTACATTTATAGATTTGTGTACATTGAACTAGACTTGCATCCCAGGACTGGAGCCGATTTGATCGTGATGGTTAAGCTTTTTGATGTGCTGTCAGATTCAGTTTGCCAGTATTTTATTGAGGATTTTCACATCGATGTTCATCACGTTATTAGTTTTTTTTAAAGGATGCAGTGAAATAGCAACAGAAGAATATAGTGTTTATTTCAATGGTGAAACCAATTTTTAAGAGTGAGTCATTTCTATTAAAGTCAGGCTAGTTATAAGCAATATGACATAACATAATATTTGTATGAAATATTTGTTTGGGACGTCCTAGCCTAGTTATTAAGTTATTGTTCTAATATAATAACTTGAAACATAAAATATAAAATGGACACTGACTTTATAACTGTGTGAATACTTACCTGGAAGTACCAAAGGAATTAGTTGAAATGTTATTAGAAATGATTCAGTAATTCAGAAAGGTAGCCAAATACAAAATTACATATAAGAAAACTATTAGCTTTTTTATAAAAAGTAATAATAAGCTAGAAATTATAATGAGAAAAATAAAAGACCTCTTTATTTACTTACTTTCTTGCTGTTGTCCAGACTGCAGTACAATGTCATGATCTCAAGTCACCACAACCTTCACCTCCTAGCCTCAGGCAGTTCCCTTGCTTCATCCTCTTGAGCACCTGGGTCTACAGGTATCCACCCCCACCCCTGGCTACATTTTATTTTTTTGTAGAAATGGGGTCTTGGTATGCTCCCCAGAGTCGTCTCCTGGGCTCAAGCAGTCTGCCCGAATTGGCCTCTCAAGATGCTGACATTATAGGTGTGAGCCACCGTGTCCAGCCAGTTCTTTTTAAATAGCACAAGATTCCAGTCACAAAATCACACTAAGAAATCAGAAGGTGTGTTTTTGCTGTTGTTTGAAGAAAACAAAAATGTCTTAACTAATGACAAGCAATTAATCCATAATATTTATTCCATTATAGGCAATTCCAATCAGATTTTATTTTTTATTTTAATAAAATATTCGAAGAATCAAGCCAACATGAGGAAATCAAGAAAAAGCTGGCCGGGCATAGTGGCTCACACCTGTAACATCAGCACTTTCGGGAGGCCGAGGCGGGCGGATCACCTGAGGTCAGGAGTTCAAGACAAGCCTGGTCAACATGGTGAAACCCTGTCTCTACTAAAAATACAAAAATTAGCAAGGCATAGTGTGCATGCCTGTAATCCCTGCTACTTGGGAGGCTGAGGCAAGAGAATGGCTGGAACCCGAGAGGCAGAGGCTGCAGTGAGCTGAGATCACACCACTACACTCCAGCCTGAGTGACAGAGTGAGACTGTCTCAAAAAAAAAAAAAGACAAAGTTGAAATAAAGCACAATGGGTAAAGGTTGGGAAGATGTAAAACACACCATTCCAGATATTATATTGCAAAAATCATAGTCATACATATTATATAATGTTGTAAGAATTAGGACTGTGGCTCAGGTGAAAAATTAGATAAAGTTGATTTGGACAGACTATAGATTTCAAATAAGACTCATGCATGTATTTGTGTGTGTGTCTGTGTGTGTGACTCAAGTAGCATTTTGTTCAATGAGAAAAGGGATGATTATTCAATAAATGGTGTTGAAAGCAGCAGCTCTCATTTGGAAAAATAACATAAAGTTAGATTCCTTCTTTACACTTTATATAAAAATATACATTGGATATATATTATATTTAAATATACACTGGATATATATAATATTTAAATTTTAAGTATAAAAATAAAATTTGTATTTCATTAATATATAATTTAATTGTAAAAATTAAAATGTTGTTTAGTTAAAATTGCTAAAATAAAATAAAAATGAGTATTTAAATTTCAAGGTAGGGAAGATATTTCTAAGCATATCACCTGAGCTAGAAAGCATGAATAAAATATCTGATAGATATGTATAAATTAAAGAATAACATTTTTTCTACCCATCAGAAACACCATAAAGAAATGTAAAGGCAAATGACAAGGCTGGGATTCTATTTCCAGTGTTGCTAAGAAGACATTAACTTTAATGTCTTAAAAATCCTTAGAAGTCGGCCAGGCGCAGTGGCTCACGCCTGTTAATCCTAGCACTTTGGGAGGCTGAGGTGGGTGGATCACGAGGTCAAGAGTTTGGGACCAGCCTGACCAATATGGTGAAATCCCATCTCTACTAAAAATACAAAAATTAGCCGGTGTGGTGGTGCCCACCTGTAATCCCAGCTACTCAGGATGTTGAAGCAGGAGAATCACTTGAACGCAGGAGGCAGAGGTTGCAGTGAGCCAAGATCACACCACTGCACTCAAGCCTGGGCAACAGAGAAAGACTCCGTCTCAAAAAAAAAAAAAAAAATCCTTAGAAATTAATCATAAGTGGGTGTGGAACAATGAGATCACATGGACACAGGGAGGGGAACATCACACACTGGGGCCTGTCTAGGGGGTGGGGAACTAGGGGAGGAATAGTAGGAGGGAGGGGTACAGGGGAGAGATACCATTAGGAGAAATACCTAATGTAGATGATGGGGTGATGGATGCAGCAAACCACCATGGGAAATGTATACCTATGCAACAAACCGGCATGTTCTGCACATAATACCCTAGAACTTAAAGTGTAATTTTAAAAAGAGAAAAAATGATCTCTCTGCCAGGAAAATCAACAGAATCAATCTACAAGAAAAGAAACACAATTGGTGAGTTACATGAAAAAGAGCCCAACTTAAAAGAAATACAAATGAAACAACAACGAACTAACATTTTCTCTGAGTTTTCAAGATTAAAAAAACAAAGCCAAACCTAGATGATAACAAATTCAGTGTATTGATTAAAGTCAGGACATTCTTACTCATTAGCAGTGAAAGTCAAAGTTTGAGTAGCCTTCTAGAAGACAATTCAAATCACGTTATGAACCAACAGTTTTACTTCTAAGAATTTATCCTAAGGAAATAATCAACAATATGTGGAAAGATTTAGCTACATCATTGTTTATTTTAGTGGAAAACTGAAAATGTGCCAAGAAAAAAAATGAGCCAAATATTCAGCAGGGGGAATTAGCACAGTATATATTATCAAGGTAAATGCATGTAATAGGATACTGATGCATAAGGATAATTTTTTTAAATGGTAGATTTTCATTGTATGTTAAATGAAAAAATAAAATGAGAGCCCATTTTTAAAATAAAAAATATATCGTCATTCAGAAAAAAAACACCTGGAAGGACATCATAAAATACTAACAGTAGGCATGCTTCAAAGTGTTATAGATGGTTTTCAGCATACAGATTACTCCTCTCAAAGAGACCTCTCTGACACTTTGTTTCTTCATCTGGAAATAAAGGAGTCATGCTAGATTAGTGCTAAGTGCTTTTAGCAAAAGTATTTCCTAATTTTACGAGTAATGATGGTGAATAGTCTTGAGAAAATGGTTATTTTTTTTCCCATTGAACTTTGGAGTTAGTAGAGTCAAACCAGGTTTATCCTGGGCTATCTCTTGTTTTAGCTAAAATTCAAATTCTGGTGTTTGTTTATAAGTTGTGTGTGTGTGTGTGTGTGTGTGTGTGTGTGTGTGTGTGTCTGTGTGTGTCTCTGTGTGTGTCTGTGTGTGTAGTGCTTTCTCACAAATGCCTATTTTGGTGCGGAGTGGGCTGGGGTGGGTACAGAGTTACATTGAAATTAGGTACATTTCCCTATAGAATTTTAGAGACACAAATAAATCTTGTTGATATGTTACATACATTTTCATGTTTCATCTACCATTTGAAACCCTATTACCATTTGAAATCATTCTTGGTTTTGGTAAGTTTCTTTAATTAACATTCACACTGAGAAACTATAAGAGATTCCATCCTTGAAAAAGTCCTTTTGCTAAAGAGATTTGCATTTGCTCTAAAAATTGCTGGAAAATGGTTCTACTTGTATTATCTAATGAAATGTCACTCTACTCTTATTTCTAGCTAATAGTAAAACTACCTGGGAAATGATAATGTACAATAAATATCTCAAGTGGTTATGTAGTACCTTGTTCCAATAGTGAAGTAAAAAACACACTCAGTTTTAATTTGCTGTTAAATACTTAACATTTCACAGTGACTCTTCAGAGGCCATAAACAATGGTGGAAAAAGTGGATTTCTAAAAGTGCTTTGCCTCATTCTTGCTTAACCTGGCAGACGTCATGAACTTCCAAAAGGGAACATATTTTATTTGCTTTATACCACCAGAGGGTTTAGTCAATTATTGCTATTTGTTTAATGTTGGTGTTGACATAGCGCCTTTGCCCTGAGGAGCTCCAGGTGCTTTATAAAATTAATCAGCAATTCACATCACAGCCTTTACGCCAGAGAGTGGACACTGAAAATAATGATTCGTGGAACCTACAGCTACCCCTAACTCATGTTTCTGTTTTCCCAGTGAAACAAAACAAATATGCCCAGTTCCCTCAGACAGCTAGCAGCAGAAAGTTCAAGTGGGGCATCAGTGGGAGTTTCTCTCTTGTGTAACTGGGTGAACTCCTGTGAGGAAGATTGCCATTCACCCTACAGAGCTGAGACTTACTATTCTCTGTTCTAAGACCCTCCCCAGCAAGGAAGTCCATTTTTTCAAGCCTTGGCTCAAATATCACTTTCTTAATAAGACTTTTCCTGACCATCTATTTAAAAAAACTAATCAAAACTTATCATCAAGTAGAGACTTTCTGTATTCTTTCCTGCATTATTTTTCTCTGTAGCACATGTAGCTATTCATCACACTTAGATTTATTTATTTATTTATTAAGTGTTGACTCCCTCCCACCAAATTGTAAGCTTTATGAAGTAGAACATTTGTCCATTCTGTTTACTACAGGCAGGATTATGCCTTGTGCTGTCTTATCTTTCTTTGCTGCCACATAGGGAAAGTCTTAGAAACACAGTGAGATAGAGAGAAAAGAAGGAAAAGATGGAATCAATTGTGATTCACTGACCAGGCCTTTGTGCGTCCCGGTCATGGAGGTAATGAATCTTTAGAACCTAGATGGGTACCTGGCACCTAATAGGTGTTAAATAAGCATTTGTTGAATGAATGAGTGAATGAGTGAATGAATGAATGAATGTGGCAGCAAAGAAAGATAAGACAGCACAAGGCATAATCCTGCCTATAGTAATTCTTGTGACATGAGAACATACATCTCCCAGTGGTTCCAGGGAAGACTCAGGGCTGACTTGAAATGTGTGCATTTGGATCACAGGCCAGCCTTGAGTCAATTGTGAATTACTGACCAGGCCTCTGTGCGTCCCGGTCATGGAGGTCAGTTCCATTAGTAGGAGGGGAATTCTTCAAAGGAAAATTGGAATTCTGTTATCAGCATAAGAGGAGAAGATGAATGACAAGTATTCAGAGATGCACTGTAACCAAAAAAAAAAAAAAAAAAAAAAAAGGTCATATGTGAAGAATATCTCATTACAAAGGCAGAATATAGTTCTAAATCTTTTGAAGTTCTGCTTTCCTATAATATCAGGTGACTACATATTTCACAGCATAATTGTGAAAATGATATTTTGAAAGTAAAACAAGGGAATTCTTGTCTGAGATAAAAATATCAAAAAAGTCAAAATTTGGCTGTGAAAAAAGAGAACACTTACTTGAGGTTATTACTTATTTTTGTATATAATTCATATAATTCTATATTATGTCTTCATATAGGCAAGGTATTAAATTCTAGTTTGCTTTTATAATTTTTAAAAAGTGACTTAGAATGTGCTAGAAATCCTAAAAATTTCTGTTCCAAATACTGGTATTTGAATTGTGTATATACTACCTTTTTTTTTTTCCTATAAAAAACTAATAGAAGGTCATAGATAAATGTAATTCGTAATATTACAAATTTACTTCAAACATTACTTCTTGCCTTTCTCTATGCCAAGATACTTAACAAATACTTCAATATTGAAAGTATTTTATTTTTACTCCTTATTTTATCTGTTCCACAGAATAGTTAGAGCTACAGGAAGAATGAGATAATGTATTTATTAATAAGTGAATATCCTATTAATGGATGAAGGTAGAACCAACTCACAGGCAGCTCAGGCAGGAAATCAAGGTGTGGCTTGGTTGGCATGAAAATATAATGACCACAAGAACTGCTGTTGTTGGTTACGCTGTACTGTATGAGAAAGGTATTCCTGACATTAGCTTTAATACTAGCCTTTTAGTAAGTGAGTAAAGTTAGTGAGTAAACTCACTCAGTTCAGATTATTAATTCAGTACTAGCTCAGTAATTTGGTGTTACTAAATACTGAGATATCCAGCTGGATTCAGGATTTGCTTAACTGAATTAGCAAATCCAGTGTTAAGGGGGGAAAAAGCTTTGTGGGTAAGCATTTCTAAATTAGTGTTTTTATGAAACCACAATATTCTAGTAGTTTGTCTTTTCCTTCAATTCTCTAAAATTGTAATTTTTTCTAAATTGTGCTACTCAGGTAAAAGATGTGAGATAGGGGAAAGGAAGGCTTTCTTAGGAAATATTTTCTTTCATTGCCCAGTTAAATTGGATTTGGGATTTACATCCATTCATCCTATTCATACCCATCATATATCTGTATATATCTGTCATATATCCCTCCTATTCATATCCGATCCAATTCATAAGACTTTTCCATCTTTTTTCATGAGATTAGTTTTCTTAACAGGTGAGAAGAAATTAAAGGCACATAATATTAGCATGCTCCTGGCATTCCAACAACTAATAATAGCGTAGCAATTTTATAAAGATTAACATAGCCTAGCTGATTATGACTTTGATGGGCCCAATGTACTTTTGGTTTTGTGGGTCCCCTCATTAAAAATAGAAAATTATATTTTGTAGCTGCATTTATATAAATATAAACTGTATGTACTCGTATTTTTCAGATTTTAAGAGAGATTTAACAGAAGGAAAGGGAATTGGTAAACCAAACAACTGTTTTATATCTATTGTTCATCATTCCAGTATAAATATACTTTTACTGTTTACATTAGTTATTACAAGTGGAGAGGGAAGGGCTTGGAAAGAGAGCTAATGCAAATGGGCGTTTGACTCCATCAACAAATCTTTATGTAAAAATCCTCAGGTTTGGGGCCTGTAATCTTATTATAGGATTTAAAGCTATTTTATTTGTCAAAACCTTTTTTCTTCAAAGATTTGTTTTTTTTGTTTGTTTGTTTTGTTTTGTTTTTTGAGATGGAGTCTTGTTCTGTCGCCAAGCTGGAGTGCAGTGGCACAATCTCGGCTCACTGCAACCTCCGCCTCCTGGGTTCAAGCAATTATTCCACCTCAGCCTCCCGAGTAGCTGGGACCACAGGTGTGTGCCACCATGCCCGGCTAATTTTTGTATTTTTAGTAGAGACGGCATTTCACCATGTTGGTCAGGATGATCTCGATCTCTTGACCTTGTGATCCGCCCACCTCGGCCTCCCTAAGTGCTGGGATTATAGGTGTGAGCCATCGCGTCTGGCCCAAAGATTGTATTTTTAAATGACTGATGCTGTGAAAGAAAATACCCTCATGATTGTATTTATAATGTGAATTTTTACAGTAGGGACAAACTAGAATTTTTCATGCAGAGAGCACTTTGTGTTTTTACTCAATAAAGCTCTTCAAAGTTCTTCAAAGTTCAAAGTAAACATTGATGCTGGAGTAATTTTCCTATAATCTAAGTGAAAAGCCAACATATCATTTAACAAAGTAAATGCTCATTCATATTTAATACAAACTCTTGTTTCTCCTGTTGAAGCTGACTTTTATCCAAATTTTTGTTTCCAGTTATCTATGGTTTTGGGAAACAGAGCTAACTTGAATTTATGAATTCTGTAAACAGGTATTTCTTGAACTACCTAGAATGAAACTGGGTAAACTAATATCAACACCGCTTCTTTTGCCATACATCACTGATAAACTGCAACATTTTTTTACATGAGGTGTTGGAATCAGACATTTCTGCATTGAATACCCAGTACTGTGGCTGACTGGCTGCATGGCCTACATTTACTTCTCACATTTCTGACTGCCTGCTGGGTTCCAGGCACTGTTCTAGGCACTGAGGATGAAAAGATGAATAAAATGCAGTTCCCATCTTCAAAGAAGTCACAATTTAAAGGAAGACAGGCAAATGAAAGTTATCTCCCAAAATAATAAAAATGCAGGGGTAAAACTAGGGCATGGTGATGGTTTGGCTTGTCTCTTTACCTCCGAGCTTCTTTCGCTTTTTATGGAATTGGATTTTAACCTCAGAAGACTGTTAGGTTTACAGATGGTAATGTATAAAACTTATCTAGCATTGGGTCTGGGAAATGCTCATTATACAACAGATTCCAGTTGTATCACTTTTTCATTATGAAGAACAAGTCAAAATGAAAAGATTGAAGAAAAATAATCATAAGTTAGGTAAGTGGGTCTGAATGGGAGAGGTAAGACTCTATATGAATATATTAGTACTTTATCAATAAACAGTCTGTTAATATAGATATATGTGTTATTTAGCCTGGGTATAGAAATAGAGGATTTGTCTCCTCCACAACGATTATAAAAACAATACAAAGCAACAGGATCTTATACAATACTATGAGTAATGATCAGAATTTTCTGTTGCCATCCACACATTTGGGTGAGATGCTGTGAATGCTAGAAAATAAAGCAGCTCACATTAAAAAGGGTGTGTTGAAAGAAAGAAACTAATACTCGAGAAACATTGTCATGCAATCTCATATCTAGAAATTGTGTCTATGTCCAGGCTTTAAATTGTTGAATTGGAAGGAGTTACATTTAGGACACACATTGACACTACATATGACATTTGAAAAAATACTTCTAATTCAGCTTTCTGACAGCTCACTTCTCCCCACTACTCACTGCGGAGAGAGCTTCCAGCTAATAGCTCAGAATCTCCCAGCTAACCAACCATTGATGCTATGTTATTGTAGGAATTTCTTTGTTGCTCTGAATGTAACTAAAAGTAATGGGATTTTTATTTTATCCTTTTCCTTTTGTGTTATAGACAGCAAAGACTGTTTCTCATCAATCTCATATAGCCAAATTAGGTTTACCTCTCATGCTGACTGATTAAAAGGCTTAAATCCTGGGCACGTTGTCCCCTGAGTCCTCTGAAATCCATGTCAGAATAGGAGTGTTCATTACCAGACTCCATGAGGAACTCCATTTCCAGAACTTCCCTCTGTTACACTCTAAGGACCAAGAAACTCTGCCTAAATTCCAAGCAGCCATGGCCTGTGGCAGCCTTGGAACTTTTGCCCTCTGGCATGGGTAGAACTAGCGTCAATTGGGTAATTCAATCCCTGAGTTCCTTCTTCAATGAATGAGAGAATCCAGGAATGTGTTGCCAGTTGCATTTTCCTTGTGCCCAGTTTTCCTTGCTGCAGGATGATGACAGTCTATTTCCACCCCTTCCCTCCTGCCACTACAGGATTTATGGTCTGCATGCCCCAGTTGTGAAACTGGCATGTAGCATTTTGTTGCCACAGGCCTGTGAATGTTTAGAAGTTGGTGTTTGTATTTCCAGGGCTACAGTTTGAATATTGAAGGAACAAACAGATAGCAAACAACTCAGAGGTCAAGCTGTGACTGCTTCCTCATTTGGAGAGCCTATTTTATGTCTGTATATTCTATCCTCAGATCCCCACAT